AACCAAAGTAACAAAGGGCTCTGAATCCATTCTTGAAGTAGGCAAGCACCGAGGAAATAAACGATCCTCTCTTGCAGGTTCAATGCAAAAACCCTTCTCTGATGAAAAAGACAAAAAAGAAAAACGAAGCTCTCAAACGCTAAATGAAATCTCCTGAAAAGAATCAAGCTAGAACCAGAGAGAACGGGTTATACTTAGCATATAGAGAAGGCCATGCAAATGCTTTTCCTGTTACATTAAGGTTTTAGGGTAACCTTGGTTACCAAGTAATGAGAGTTTATGTTGAAGGTGATTTAGGAGATCGAGTATGATTTTTGTGAATTTGGCCACCATTGTTTTTCTTTTTCTTAGCTATTTCTATCCCATGCACTATCGGTTTTTCTGAAATTATTTAATCAATTTTCATTTTAAAAAAATTTAATTTCATGTATAATAGCAATAAAAAAATTTTATTAACCGATTTAATTTTAAATGATAGTTTCAACGTTCTCGAAGGTTGGGATTTTTGGATCCAAATTGACTGGTATTTTTGAGTTGAGAGAGGCCCAATGGCTATTGGGCTAATGGGCTTTTCTCTGTATAATCTGGAGCGAAGTTTAGGCCCAATTAATCCTAACATGCATCGGATGCCTCTAATATATGACTCCGTTTTCTTCCTTCCCACGTGTCAAATATCCTAACGGCTACTTTGTCCCACGCTGTCTCGCAAGTCAGGCGAAGTCGGTGGTAGGGAGTGGGAAATCCCAATGTTTCTTTTTGCTTTGTAAGCACATCGACCCGTTGCAAATCCCACCCTTCTAAACGCTCTCTTCTCTTCCTTACTGTTCGTCTGCCTGTCTCTCTGTCTCTCTCTCCTTCTTACTCTCCCTTCTGCTAAGGGTGGTTGAAGCCATGACGGTGGCGAGTGCTGCCACTGCCCATTCCAAGAAGCTCATGAAGCTTGCTCTTTCTCTCTTTCGAAACGGCTTCAACTCCTCCAAATGGTACGAACCCATCAAATCTTCTTTCTTTCTCGGGTTATGGGTGTTTATTTTTTTCGTTTCGTTCCCGTGTAAAACTGATAAAATGAGTGAAAGCTTTCGGCTTTCCTTTTCTGGGGTTTTCAATTTGGTTCCGTTCTTTGCACTTTCTTCAAGAACAAATAAAGCAGGTGTTAGTTCTTTTGTTTACTTTCTACTTTTGTCAACTGGTAGCAAAACAGCGGCGAAGATGGCTGTAGCAAGGATAAAGCTGCTGAGGAACAAGAGACAGGTGGTGGTGAAGCAGATGAGACGCGACATTGCCTTACTCCTTCAGTCCGGTCAAGATGCCACAGCTCGTATTCGGGTATTTCTCTATATTCATTATCTATGGATATTCATTTTCATTATTCGGGTATTTAGCTCAATGAATGCCTCTGATATGGTCATTGTAGGTTGAACATGTCATAAGAGAACAGAATGTTTTGGCTGCAAATGAATTCATTGAGCTCTTCTGTGAGTTAGTTGTAGCCAGGCTTTCCATCATTTCTAAGCGAAGGTGAGACAGTTTGATATCTCTGCTACGTTCTACAGCTTCTTTGCATGATGTTGCTAAATAGGTCCAATCATTCCAGGGAATGCCCTGCTGATCTGAAAGAAGGAATTGCTAGTTTGATTTTTGCTGCCCCAAGGTGTGCTGAAATTCCAGAACTAGTAGCAATTAGAGATATCTTTGAGAAGAAATATGGAAAAGATTTTGTATCTGCAGCCACCGATCTGCGGCCCAATTGTGGTGTTAATCGCCTGGTGAGCTTTGTCTTCCTATCCTTTCAGCCATTGGCTTCTATGGTCTGCTCCATTGTGGATATCATAGAAGCTTTTTCTTTTGCTTTAACTTTAAAGATGGTTGCACTCTAATTCAAATTTCCTAATTCAGTGGCTTTTTAATTTTGTAATGTTAATAATTCTGTTTGTTAAGCACTTTGAAGAGGTTCTTCCTGATCATATCTAGTTCTTTGAGAAGACTGATACATCCTTGTCTGTCTGTGCAGCTGATTGACAAGCTCTCTGTAAAAGCTCCTACTGGTGAAGTAAAGTTGAAAGTCATGAAGGAAATAGCCAAAGAACACAACATAGAATGGGATACAACTGAATCAGAGAAGGAGCTGCTCAAACCTCCAGAAGAGCTTATAGTTTGTTCCTCTCGCCTCACCCCATCTGTCTCTGCCTATTGTTTACGCATTTATGTGCTCACACACACCAAGTGTTAAATTTTAAGTTCGTTGTCAATCTAAAGTTATGTGCTTTTCTAATTGAAATATAGGAGGGACCACGGACTTTCGTTAGTGCCACCAGCTTGCCTGTGAAACCTGCAACAAATCATTCTCTCGCGCCAAAACAGCCAATGACTAGGTAAGTTGGCCAATTATACTTTTTACATCTGCTCTCTCACAATTTGCAAACAAAAATTTCCCCATTAACATTTGCTAACTTGTTCTGATTCTTTACCGACATAAAAAAAAATGGTAGAGGAGAAGGCCCTATGCATTTTAAAGACACAGTCTCGGCTGCTGAAGCAGCTGAAGAATCTGCCAAAAGAGCAATTGCTGCTGCTCAAGCTGCTGCTTATTTGGCAAACCGAGACAGTAATTTATTTAATGAAGCATCTGGTCGTGCTAAACGTTTAAATGATTCAAGCATCATTACTGGATTGGGAAACCTTTCTGCAAATTCTGCTGGTGGATATCTTCCAACTTATCCTCCAGTCAATTCTCAGCACATGGATCCTCCGGTCACTAGGAGAACATATGAATCTCGGAGTTTTGAAAGGTCTTACTATCCGGGTAGTGAGGAAGCAAGACCTAACAATGCGGAAGGTGGAAAGACCTTTAGGAGACACAGCTACAATGCCCCTTCTGCACATTCAGATATAAAGTTTGATGAATCAGATTGTGATGAAGAAATAGAAACTGAAGGTGCTTCCGGCAGCATTAATCGTCCACCTGAAAGATCTCCACCACCAGTTCCTTCATCTTATGATAAACAGGATTCTATTCATCGTGTTCACCCCAAATTGCCAGATTATGATGATCTTGCAGCTCGCTTTGAAGCTCTCAAGTATCGCAATTCACTACCTTGAAATCAGATGCTTGTAAACCAGCTTTGAGTTTTGTTGGGATTCAGATTTTATGTTTACTTGATATCATATACGATGTTATCCATTATATACCATCAATACTTGATAATGCATTTATTTTGCATGAAATGTCCCTGAGACAGAAATTTAAAAACAGAGGATGTAATCATTAAAGAGCAATGTATTCTTTTGGGACTTGGGTATACAACTCTTTCAAAGTTTTTTCTTTTTCTTGTTAATGGAAGATGGCACTGTGTTAATATTAACCTTCTAAGCTTAATTTCAACATCTGAACAACAGTTTCAAAGAATGCCTTGAGATGCTTGATGCTCGCATAGAGATGGTTAGGATTTGATCACTAACTTCTTCACTTATACTGAACAGATGCATACAGGAGACATTTAAATCTGGTGAACAAAATTTCCAAATTCTTCAACACAGCAAAACAAAAGAATCTTGAATCATCACAGATACAAATCTAAAATTGACAAGCAACCCGACTTTCAGTGAACCATGTTTAGTAACTAGAACAATTGGCTGCACATCAGTGCTTCTACACCAATCTCACACTAAAATTTTTAGGGTAAAGAATCGATTTAAAGTAAATGATACATAGCCCTACAATATCAGCAGCAACGACAGGTTAAAACATCTAAGCAAGTGTAGGGCATTGACTTTTCTTCAAGTTCTTGAGCTGAAGGCAAAGATTCCAAACTGTAACTGCTGCTTCGAACACAACAGAAGTCGTACAAATTGCTGCAAACTCCTTTACTGAAAGGATATACTCGTTCAGGAATCCCCCTGCATGTCACAAAAATGGCAACTATGTAAAGCTGTCTTTCATTACTGCTTTATTCTCACTTCACTGCAACAGGCAAATAATGAAATGCGTTCTATGAACATCAAAGCATGATAATCTTTTGATCTGTAGGACATACATAATATGACATGACATTGTACTTTCAAGACAAATCTAGTGCATAATTTGCATGACACAAAACAGTATGAAGAGAATAACAGCATACACTAACCTTAGATATGGAATACGCCTACGTCTAACGAGTTCATAAGTAGTCTGATTTGTCAGTACAAGATAGCTGCATGAAAAATAAAAGATCCCAAATTAGAAAAGTGCTCATGGGTGCATAACATGAAAAACAAAGAAAGGCTGCTGCTTAAATTAATCAAAATCTGAAATTTGACACCGAAAACAAGTAACAAATGACCGAGCATACCTGTGAAAAAGGAGAAGGAGAAGCAGAAAAATTATGGAAATTGACAAGGCGATCAACAGCAGAATCATAATAGCAGCCTTCCACCTGACAACAATATTTTTCCAGGTCAAATTTCAGATTCAGGTAAGAACACAAGGTCTTTCTAAACCAAAAAAAGCGAAGGAGGAGGCAAATACACCAGCTCCAAATGAAAACAAAAGTCAAACAATATTGGAACTGCTTCATCAACACCTTAAAAGGAAAATGTACTGTAATAATATAACATACCAAGCCCTTGATATGTTGGCCTTCAGGTATGTAACGTACAAGATGCCAGTCCAGAGGCACAATGCTGTCTCTTCACAAATGTACCACCTAAATTTACAAATAGTGACAAGAGAAATCAAATAGGTTACAAGTTAGGAAAATATATTTGAAATATATGAACGCTGGGGAAAGAATATTAGCATGCATGCAAAATCATATATGCCACTCCTGGGATGAAGTAAAGCTGGAGAAGGCATGTAAACAGTTTAAAACCAAATCAGATTATAAAGGGAAAGAAAAAAATATATATTGTAGCAAATTATACCACAGTAACTTAGGGCACAAACTATTGGTAAATAACATATCAAAAATGATGTAGACTCACCAAAATTTGCAATGATTACCCTGGCCAACGCATGTTCCGAGCCATACACAATGATGATCAAATTGAAGAACACATTTATCACAATCATGACAATGCTTTGCTCGAGGAGGCTGCAATGGTACCAGAAGAAATATAAGTAACAATCACATGCAATATGAAATGCAATAAGATCACATAAAGGTAACATCCAAATAGATTTCTGGACAATCAGAACCAATACTTTACACAGTTTTTGCAATGAACATCCTACCAAAAGCTACAATAATGACACAAGTTCATGTGTTTCATGAGTACACGGGGCCTCAATGCTCACTGACAAAGCCACAAATATTCATATATGTATTCTTTTTAATGATATATACATTAAACAAAGCCAAGAATAAGCATGCACCAGCCAGTTAAATGACACAGCATAAACAGAGGTCTCCAAGAAATCTTGATTCATGGAAAATAAGTTGTATCATATGAAGGACATAAAATTGAGATCTCAGTACCTGCTCAACATTACAATAGGAGCAAGTGCAAGTCCTACAAAATCCAGGAGAAAGTCAGTAGTTTTATAATTTTCGATAAACTTCCAGTAACTTCTACTTTTTGCTGATGGTTTGCATGACAAAAATCAGAGATTATTCACAAAGTCAATGAAGTTTTACATACCTAACGGGTGTTCCAGGGGGATACATGTCCATCACCAACTTTGTCCAAGATGTGACATTATTCCCTTGTAAATTTCTAGTTGATTGACTCCCTTCTACAGTGACAATCAAGCTTCCATTTTTGCTTGAAGCAGGCTGTCTTTGCTTAAACATTATAAGAAAATGATAAATAGTAAGATTCCAAGAATCCAAAATCCATTTCTATTTCTATTAGATCATTATATCCAGAATAACCTAGTTCCAAATTCTAAAAGATCAAAGAGAGAAAGAATGGACAAGGAAAAAGAAAGGAAAAATGCTTACTTTGAGGCTATTGATGCCTTCTTATATATCACATTTGTCTCGTTAACAGCCTTCATTGCATCAAGTACATAACTAAAAGCAGAAAAACAACAAAGGAAACAAACACATTAAAGTGAAAGATGCTCTAAATACATTATACAGTTGAAATCTTTGATCTTGAGATTAATAGCACACTGATATTTACCCGGGAGAAGAACCAGAAGTAATAAAGTATTGCACCAACGTGGCAAAAAACAACAACAAATACAAAGCAGTGTACCTGAGAAAATGGGGAAAGGAAGTAAATTTAAGGCTTCAAGGTTTCGTACCAATTACAATCTAAAAGATTCGAGAGAAAATACTAAACCAAGTGACTTTGGAAAGAAGGAACAGAGGAACATCAAGACATCTGCTACATGCGAGATGTGTTCTATTGATTTGTCTATTACTGTTATTATGCAATACAAGCATTAACTAGAGCATAAACCAATCATTACGTGGAAATATTGAACAAAAGAATCCAACTTTGAATTTTCATTGAAAATAGAAACAATTATATTGAATGGACAATCACGCATACCATGGTTCTCTCTTCGTTTTCTCTATCAAATCGCTATCGAAAAGGAAGAGAATGCCAGCGTATATCAGATGCAGCATCACTAATGCCACTTTCAAACCCAATGATGACCTCAGAGCTAAGAACCCATCAACAAAACAAAGCAAATAAGGCAATTCAACCGAGTGAAAAAGGAAAAACCATGCTTACTAAAAAAAGGGGGACAAAATGGAAAGTAATCAACTAATTATCCGCAACTCAACTGAATTTCGAAAAACAAGAACATGGTAAAATGCATTTCTTTTGTTAAGAAACGAACAGAAATGGTACCAGGATCGGAGAGACAAGGGAAACACTGGAAGCATCGGTCGAGTGATCGATCGCGAAAGGTGCGGCATATTCCTACGACCATCGTCATCAAACAAAGCCCCCCACCAAAACAACAAACAAAAAATCCAAACCAATTCAAATCATTAAAGGACTATACTTGTTGTATCCCAATGCTCCCTTTCTCTTTTTCTGTTTTTCCTGGTAAAGTTTTTCTTTTCCCCTGTTTTTCTCTCTTGCTAGCAAGACCCCATTTCTTTTCCAAGGAAAGTGACAGCAGACTGGATATTGGCCAAATACCAAACTCCAACAACAAAACCCAGCGCAGAGAAGGGTTCGAGATTGTACTGAAATGGAAGTTGCAATTTTAGTGTGGTATATCACACCCGCAGACAATCCCCGCACATCTTCAGGCAAAAAGCTCATGGGCTTTCCCAGCCTTTAACCTCATGGCCCAATAAACAAATCGAAGCTCATCAGCTATTTTTTAATTAGTAAAAGAAATTATAAACAGGAACAGGAGCATTTGTCTTAGTATTTAATTAAAAATGATTGACATGAACAATGATAGATAATAAATGCTAATCAAAGTTATAACCTTAACTTAATTATTGGTTTAAACTCGAGATAAAATAATTAAAATTAAACCAATCTTTTAATCTTCTATATAAGAAGAAGAGCATGCTTTTGTTGTTGATCTTCACCCATTGATGTGAACCAGTGTAATTGGTGAAACCACACCAATTTCAATGGTCCAAAGCACTAGTAGAAAAGGTTTGTTATCACCTAACAATAACTATGTACCTACCATTCTTGGCATTATCACTCCATGTAGATATCGGGAAGTCAACGTCTAATAGTCAGCTCAACCCCTACTGTCCTTACTTAACACATCTTACATTACACTAAATAATAGTTAACATGTCTATTATGTCATGATTTAGAGGAAATTATGGTGCTTATATATGCTTCCTAAAGTGTTTAATTATAAAAATTGATTTGTTAGTGCTTTACTAAAGTTGAGTATTAGCTTACATTCATTGACTTAGGGACAAGATGTTTAGAGTTTTTATTAATTATGTAGGGAATATTTCTTTTTCTTGGTAAACTTTTGGCTGGTAATTAATTAGTAGAATTCTTTTTAAAAGGTTTGCATGATCAAAAAAGATGAAATGATTAATAGTTAAATGTCAACATTCATATGCTACCAAGGCCAAAATAAGTATGCAGCGCCTCGTTAATTAAGCAAACGTGGAGGGTTTTTATTTGTATTATATACATATTTATTTATTTGGTTTAGCAGTGTGGAGCATTAGATAGAAGAGATTCTGTTTATTGTTGAGATCTCTTATCTAACTTAAAAAAGGAAAAGAATTAATATGAAATTCAGCCATATTTAATACAATCTGAACATGGAAGGACAAAAGAATTGACGACTTCATTGAAAATTCATTAATAATTTAATTGAAAATTAAATAAAAAATTGAGTTGGTCGTAAATTTATCGAAATTTTCTGACAAAGTCAATGTCATTGAAAATAAGTCTTTTTTTTAAAGGTAAATTTAATACCTAGTTAATAATAAATAGAGGGGCAAAGAAAGATGGTTGGTCGAATCAATTGTCATCGTTTAACAGTCCATAATCCATATAAAATAACTTCAAGTTTTGGTTCGAAGGCAGAGGAGAGATAACTGTTACCCAAGATCCATCCAAAGATAATTATATCGAGAATATCACCTCATTGGCTTTCTAGTGCGAAAAATATCACAAAGATCCCTAGCAATTACTAACAAAAAGACACCAAATGCAGCGATTATATTGATGTTGGAAGCCCTCGAACAAACACAGGAAGAGACGGATCTCATCGAAGACATCAAGACAAAGATACACGTACCTCACTAAGTTATAGACAAGTACTGGAAACTGCCTTTTTAATTTGTCATGGTTACCGCCATTAAAACAGCAGTGCGCCACCAGCAATGGCAGCATGTAATTGAACGATAGTATCAGCAGCCGCTGCGGTATCTGTGGATGTATAGCCTGGGGTTAGCGTAAAACAAATAAACAAAAAAAAATATGCAAGGAACTGATGAACATTGGAATTACAATTTAATGAAGAATGCTTTTGTTAGTCAAAGAATATATGTTGCGGCGGGCGTTTGAGGAAAAGTTTGTTTTGCAGAAATATAATAAAAGCTTCCTATTTCTGGCAGTTCCGTCCTTAAAATAACAAGCACAAATGCCAAAAGCATTAGACATTGTTAATATTTTTGACGAGTTTTCTGAGTTATTCATATCTATATGCCCCGAACCGGATTCTACAACTTCGGGTAATGACTATTTAAATTAAACAATATATACCTGCTGCTTGTATTTTTTTTTCCCTGCTACTTTTGCGTTTAAATCCACTTTTCTGGCCGAAGAAGTGCTTATTGTTTAACAGACGACACCAATCCCATGGAGCTGAAGTGGATTCCTTGTTCTCTTTCTCTGATCATATTTCTCACCTTGACAGCAATATTGCGGGCGGCTGAAGAAACAGCAGTGCCAGCAATGTGCATATTCGGGAACTCAACTGCGAATGTTGGGACTAATGATTTTCTGCCTGACATTGACAGGCAAGCGAGGGCTGGCAACTGTTTTTATGGAATCGATTATCAGGCTCATGACCAACAGGAAGATTCAGCAATGGCTATAACGCAGTTGATACAAGGTTGATATCAAGTTGTACGGTTATAGATAATCTGTTCGAATTTCTTACCGATAGCATTTTCTTTCTCATGGCTTAGGGAGGCCACTGGGCTACAATAGAAGCCCTCCAGCTTTGCTCTATCTCCTTAACAAAAGAAGGCCTTTTTTCAGGAGGAATATTCTGCAAAAGGGAAACAATATGTAACCTCCTCTCTGATTATCTCTTGTTATTTAGAAAATAAAAACCTGGCAAGAAATCTGCAAAACCTGATAGAATTATAACCTGCAGTTGCATTTTAATTACTTTCCAGGGGAAGGTGATAACCTTTGCAGAACAGATTCAACAATTTGTCACTGTTCGCAACATATCTCACAAGCAACAGGTTCTGATACTGAGGACTGATTTCCAGGTCGCTGTTTTTCATTAGTATGGGAAGCAATGACATTGTGGAATATTTTGCTTCCATTAATATTTAGTAATTACAGCATTCAAAACTTCATGACCATTCTCATTTACAACTACCACATTCATCTCAAGGTTTGTTATAACAGAATTAAGAAACACATGAAATAAAAGGATTCTTTTTCCATCTTTCTCGTTCGTTTCCTTTTTCCCAAAGCCAGAATCTGTTGAACCTTAGTGCCAGAAAATTTGGCATTGTTAGTATTCCATTAATTGGATGCTGCCCATGCCTAAGGGCGTTAAACAGCGCCGAAGGGTGTATATATGTAAGAGTTGAATGCATGTGCTCAAATGTTCTACAAAGATGTTGGATTCCTCCTCCAGAAATTAGGCTCAGAATTCAGATAGTTGAAACAATTAATTTCCTCCGACTGATCGTAAACAATCACATTAACTACCATCAATTACTATATTTAATGTGAAAATATACCTAAATATAGCGCCTTGATAAATGTTCAATACGGCGCTTGTTAACAAAATCCTAAAACTTAAAACTCATGCCTTGAAATGTACAGGTGGTTATATCAGTGAACCTTATGTGTTGAAGGCCCTAGTAGAAACCAGAAATTTGTGATTAACTGGAAAAAATCACCTTTATTCAAACAATTACAATTAGGACTGCTCAGTGGAATCACATTCAAAGGCAAGACATTAGCATCATCACTTGAGCTTGACTTGAGCATTTAGACTGGTATAAGTTTTGATATATATTGATTTTAGGATCAAAGACAGGGCAAGCATCAAGCGTGGACGGTTTGGAATAAATTCTTCAGAATGATTTTACATTATCGGAAGGGAATTGACTGTTGCATGTTCATAAAAAAAAAAGGAAGGACTGAGAAAACCTGTCAAGCCCGCTTCTGGCAGGTAATAATCTAGTTTACAGTTTACACTACCCATGTTATTGTACTAGAATTATATGTACAGTTATATCTCGCTGTCAATATACTAGAATACAAGGAAACAAATGCAAGCTTCAGAATGGAGGAAATTCATTGTTTCAGGAATATTCTATGGATAAATTTTTTGGCGCATGAAGGGATGGAGAAATTTCTGAGCAGGATGAAAATGACTAACATTGTTTTTACCAATAGAGGACACGAAAAGAACATAGAGAGTTCACGTTGGAAGGTCATCCAAGGAGCTATGGCATGTCGCCACATAAGTTTTTTCACCAATGATTTTCTCACATGGGGCCGTTGACATGATGATTCTTCCAATAATTTCCCCCCTAGGGGACAAGGTTTCTTTGGAAGTATTGTACAATCCCTCCATCGTATTTCCACTGTCTCCACGATTGATTGGGAACATGATCCAGCCCTTTACAACGCTGGTGGGGTTGGATATTACGCCACCAGGATGCCACCAGGCTAGCTCACAGTAAGCCTCTAATGAATCAGCAGGCTAGAGAGAAAATAACATGAGAAACTCTGCAAAAGGGCGGCAATGAGATGAACCCAAAATTCATAACCCCTTTTACTTTTCTTTTTTAACGACAACATTCTTAATCTTTACTAGAAAATCACCCTCTAGAAGAATCAAAACCCATTACTTGATTTAATCTTTACAATATAACATACTAGGGAGATCCTGCTAAAAGCTCACGAGGGAAATTCACAGATGCCAAATAATTAACTAGGCCACCGACAGACCGCAAAAGATTGAGGAGTGGCTGAGGGAATCCTTATTAAATCCCTGACTTTTAATAAATTTTTCCCTCAAAATAGTATAGTATTACACTGATACTTCAAGTTCCTTTTGATGTAATTCCTATTCCTTTATGCTAATGGAATGACGCTTTATTTGTTTTTTTCTTAGTAGAGTGCAAATTAAGATTGTTCTTCGTCAACTTCAAGGCTTATATGTTAATAACAAATATTTTATTTTTTCATAAAAAAAGGTGAGAAATTGGCATACTTAAGTATTGCAAAAAGGGAAATGTATGGTTCCAAATGAATTTGGCGAAGGTTAGGAATTATATTATTGGTAAGCAAAAGAATTATCAAAGTTCTCCTTGTCTAATAAATTAACTCATTTGCTTTATATTCTTTGTATTCTTCTTAAAATGAAGGACTTTCATTTGGAATCATTCTCCTTTGGGAGTGTAGATTGATTTACGCAGGATATATCGCCGGGCTGATCATGGTCTTTGACAGGTTGGAACAACGACGCCTTTAGCTTTACTTGTTTGTTCACGTACAACATTCCCAATATAAATAGTCAACCCAAGTTTTAATTTTATAAGGGTACCTGAGTGGCCAAAAACAATAAAGAAAGAAGTCTGAGCCTGGGTCGACATAGCCGCGGTCTCATGGCAAAGAGGTATACTTCATATTTTCTTGGTGTTTTGCTGTCGGTTGCAGTAACTTTGGCCCTGCTCCAGGCTGAGGCAGCAGCACCGGCAGTTTACATATTCGGAGACTCAACTCTTGATGTTGGCACCAATGTCTTCATACCCGAATGCACCGCAAAGGCAGACGTCTATTTCAATGGTATCGATTTCCCTAACTCGGTGCCAACGGGGAGATTCAGCAACGGCCTTAACACTGCTGATGAAATAGGTACACACAAATCCGCCATTGTTTCATTGCTAGCTGACTGACATGCATATTCATTTCCTTTACGTTACCGTATCAGTTCTCCAGTGATGACATGTTTAATTTGTTTAGTGAGACTGTTGGGCTGGAAGAGGAGTCCACCACCTTTTCTCTACCTTCTCAATGATCCGTCGACTTTCAAGCAGAAAATACTCCGGGGTGCCAACTTTGCTTCTGGAGGATCGGGAATTTTAAACACTACTGGACGGCGATTCGTGAGCTTTTTCATTTTTCCATTATATTATCTCTAATTCCTTTTTAAACACTAATTATCACAAATATATATTTAACATATGCAGGTCATCGTCAAGGAATCTCCATTAATAGTTACTGATTTCTCACTGATTTCCTTTATTTTTTTTACTTGTTAACTTCCCTGAATGAGAAAAATCATCTGCAGAATAAGGTTATATCCATGGAGCAGCAGATTCAACAGTTTTCAACTGTTCGTTCGAATATCACAAACATGACTGGTAGCGATGCAGCAACTGATAGGATTCTTTCGAAAGCATTCTTTCTTATCAGCATTGGAAGCAATGACATCCTTGAGTATCTGCTTAATCTTACCACAACAAAAATGTCCATCCCGGAGTTCAATGTCACCCTGTTATCCACATACGAAAACCATTTAAAGGTTTGACACACTTACCCTAAACTGTGGTTGAAATTTTTTGGAAAGGAAAGCTAATCTCATTTAGCATCTATTGTTGCTGTACCATGTCAGACTCTGTATGACCTTGGAGCCCGAACGTTTGGCATTTTAACTGTTCCACCGATTGGGTGCACCCCATTTGCTCGTGCTGTTTTCACTCAAGATGGTAGCTGTTTCGAACCAGCTGAACAGTTTGCAGAAGCCTTCACTGTAGAAGTTGCGGCCTTGTTAAAACAGTTTAGCACTGCAGTCCAAGATATAAGGTATTCGTTGGGGAATACGTATTTGATGACCACTACTATGATGGAAGATATGTTAGCCTTTGGTAAGCTTATAATCATCTACACTTTTTTGCAAAAGAAAAAAAAAAACCAGAGATAGAGAGGAATAACAGTAGTTTTCCTAACTCCCCAACTTCTTATGTAGGTTTCAGGAACGTTGCAGCAGCTTGCTGTGGAAATGGAACTCACCAATGCAATCAAACGGCCAGCTTCTGTGCAAATCGCGATGAGTACTTATTCTGGGACCAGTTTCATCCATCACAGAAAGCTTCCGAGTTGGCAGCCCTAACTCTATTTGGTGCATCAGAATCGCTTGTGGCGCCCATGAATTTCAGTCAGTTGCTTGGGGTTAACGTTTAGCAGTAACTCCGCTGACATTATTCTCACATGTTTGTATCACTTTGTTTCTAACCACAAGGGATATAGAATCTGGGATCTTCCATATCGTCTTATTCAAGCATGAATCAAATAACCATGGATTAGACTTCTTTGTACTCACAAAGACCATGACTAGAGGTTATCAACCTTCTCAATTTAATAATTGTAGAGGATCCTATGTATTTTGCAAATAAGTGTACGACCATTTTTAGTGAGGTACCAGCCTCTTTGTCATCATATTACAAGTTTTTACAGTATCTTTCTAGTCCATTATTTTAATTTTTAAGTCCTTTAATTTAGGTATTTTGTTTGTTTCTATCTGCATTCTTTGAGGAGAATGAGAGCCTTTAATCAAATCAAGTCCAACCGTTTGAATAATTTTGATTACTAAGTTCAAGTTTGATTGGTTTTTATATTAGATGGTTCAGATCATTCACCTAATCTATTGTTTGATTGAGAAAATGGCTTACATCAGGTGGGTTTAGACTTCAGATAGCTTGATAGGTGCAGGCCGGTTCTAGATGCTTCAATCATGTGTCCATCTAGAATCCAGTTTCAAAACAAAGTTGTCACAAGTTTCATGAATTCGATGGGATATGACTTCACCTCTGACTTCAACAAAAAACAAGCATTGTCGTTATACTTTGTCATGGTCCTGGAATTAGGATTGACCCAGAGATCCTCATTCCTCCCTTGGATTGAGATCCCTCGTGAAAATCTCAATGATCATTGTGAATCTATTTGAAAACTTAAGATTTAATCGGGGAAAATCGATGCATTATGCAGATCAAAACCATTTCCAAGGCATTTAAGTTATTGTGTTGAATCTGTAGCCATGTGGAAGTTAAGCTAATTATCAATTACTGATGAAATTAATAAAGAATTCCTATGCTATGTATGAATATGACCTTTCTTCAAATTTTGCAAAGCAATGCATGCAGATTCGACAAACCTCTAGGTTCTTGATTTCTTTATCATCTGGAGGATCTCGATATGCCGGATAGAAAGCTCTGTAAAAAAAGGAGTTGCTTTGCCAAAGCATTTAGATTGTTGAGTTGCGCTTGCACTCCTAAGCTGCACAACTCCGTGTAGGATGACTGATGAAATTTCTTATGCACATGCCCACCTCCAGCAAGGAAGTTCTGATATCTCTACTAACAATGGTTTGCTTGCAACTTTACAAATCACAAGATGTCCTAGGTGTGTGCTATACCATTATATTTCTCAGAAAAGTATATCGGAAAACAGGACAAAATCGTTTACTCTATCAATGACACACCTTGAGAAAGTCATTAAGATTTCAGGGAGATACAGGCTCTTAAGTTCAAAGTCTTTCAACTTCTTGAGTCGCCTAAAACTAATAAAGTAGCCTCTTTTTCTTTCTTCCAAATAAAAGAATTCAAGAAACAAATGATCATATTGAAAGAGCAATGAAAAATATGTGATTCCACATACATTGTTGCTATACATGTTTCAGAACTGCATTGGCAGATTGATGAGCAAAATATTTTTGCCTCAGGTGAACATATGGGTAACCAATAAATGATAGAAAGTGAGCTGGCTTTGAGAAGGAAAGTATTTCATACCACACTTGGTCATTCTCGTCCAGCTCAATTGAAAAGCGTTCTTCCCCAGCCTGATTTCCAGCAGACATTCCAAACCATGTTAGCATCAATCGGGCTATCTAATATGCAGAACCTAGCAACAATAGAAATTGATCGCAGAGGCAGAAAAAACACTTCATACATACAAGAAACCAGCGCAAACTTTAGAAAACATTATAATTTCATGTTTTGAGAATTAAAATCAGAAGAATAAAGCACTAACCAGTAGGTGACCTTGTAAGGTGCCACTACCGAAACCAAAGGAGGCTACAGCCTTCTTACTCTTAGCACTTTTGCTTTCCTTTACGTACACCACTTGGAGAGGCATCATGACCCAGGGTAGAAACTCCTTGACACAAACACAGAATTTCACCCCATTTTGAATTGGAGTCTTGGGATCAACAAATGCCCAATTTAATCCAAAATGCCTGCAGAAAGTAGCAAGGTATATGACTAGGATAGTCCTCTCAGTAACACTTCTCTACATTTGCCAAAAACAATGTACAAAAACCACAAACCTCCAATTCTGCAGAGCTGCCTTGCCCTTCTCATAGGTCTGGAGACCAGAACCAACTAAAACACGTGCATGATTGACTAAATAACCATCTTTGGAGAGCTCCTTATCTTCCTTGATGCAAGACACAGGCTTAGCAGTAGCTCCTTTATATTTGGTGTCATAGTTGAATGTACCTGACCTGGTCATAATTTACACAAAAAAACTAGGTAATTTCACCCCCAAAAAGGAAAACAGAAGGAAAGAGAAATAAACATAGTTAAGATTCAGAAGTCAACTAGCACTATCATTTACTTGTTAATGCAAGATTTCTGTTGTTCAGGAGAAGGTCGAGCCCAGCACAAGAAAACCATGTCTGTCAAAATAACATGAATAATCCTCAATCATCCATACTCATAGCATACCACCCTTTATATTCAGCTAAACATTTGGTACATAGAACACTTACATTAGGCGAATTTTTCAAAAAAATGTAAGCTTTAAATAAGAAATGTCCACAAGTAGTGAGTTGAATATCTTCGTTGAGGATATCATCTTCTTTTTTTTTTTTTGGTGAAGAAAAATTATTAAACTTGCAATTAAGAAACCACAAAAGAGAAGTTCACCTGTTATCCAAGCAAAGCAAGTTGAATTCTGTGCTTCGATATTCAATTAATTTCGCAATGGCATTGGCTGACAGAACACTTCGAGGAAAGGGAAGACAAGAGGTCGAAACGGGCCGACAAAGAAATGGGCCTGTTGTCGACTAGAAGCTGAACTGGCACAGAAATTACTTTGGGCTTCCTACCCAGAACCCAGACCCAAAATTGATTTGCAGGGGGCCCAAGATGCCCAAGGTTATGGAACGACGGCGGTTAAGCTGAAAACTCTTGTACGTTCTGCTTCCTTCGAAAGCCTCCTACTTCGACTCCAGGTGAACATCGAAAGACAACCCGACGATTCGATTATTATTTGTTTCAAATAATATCATTCGTTTGGTGATCACCTATTAGAAAATGAAATTGTGACGAGGCTGGAATTCAGCAGAAATTGTAAAATGAAGAAGTCGCCATTGCCGGTGGAAAACCTTAGCGGCAAAGGGAAGCAGCGGGAATGTGGAAAAGAAGCTTTGGTCAAGCTCTTGAGATGGCATTTCGGTCATCCAGATTTCAAAGGCAAACAGTTGGAAGCCATCGAAGCCGTTTTATCAGGTATTGCTTGAACAGAAAATTCAATTTCATCGAGACCATGCTCTGTTTCCTTTTTCCTTTTCGAAAATTCTTTGAATTTAACCGTTTCTTTTTTATTTGCAGGAAGAGATTGTTTTTGTCTGATGCCGACTGGAGGAGGAAAATCAATGTGTTATCAAATCCCCGCTCTGGCTAAAACGGGAATTGTGCTCGTCGTTTCTCCATTGATAGGTGGATGAATTTCTTCTATTTGATTTTGTTTTTTTCTTTTACTTATTGAAGGAATTTTTAACTTGCAAAACTTTCTTTTTCCCATTTTCCATTGGTTTTAAATGGGAGGGATATTGCTGTTGCGTTTGTTTCTCCAATTTCATCTGCAGCTTTGATGGTAAGCACATTGCAGCTTTCTTCTAGCATAATTTGTTTTTTTCTTCCCTGAAATTCTTAATTTTTGGAATTTGTTTGCCTATTAGGAAAACCAAGTCATGGCATTGAAAGAGAAAGGAATTGCTGCTGAATTTCTCTCCTCAACTCAAACGTCACAGGTGAAGAAGAAGGTAATTTATATATGGCACTGATTGTTAAGCTTGAGCTTCATTTGCTACTGGGAAGCCTTAGGTGATTATTTTGCACCTTAATAACATATTTCTGGTTTTAATCTTTGCAAAGGATTAGATTAGTTGAATTGAGCATGTTATTATGTTCTTTCTTTTTCATGTTTCTGAAAAATTGTTGTTTCTGTTTTAATTATCAGATTCTTGAAGATCTTGATTCTGGACAACCATCTTTACGCTTGCTTTACGTGACACCCGAGTTAATTGCCACTTCAGGGTTTATGTCAAAGCTGACAAAGATTCATGGCAGAGGATTGTTAAATCTCATTGCTGTAGACGAGGTGTGAACTAGCATGTACTTAATGACTTTATTATCTGGAATTTGGAGTTGTTTCAACAGGAAGTTTAAATCTTTCCCTAAAAGTTCACATCTTTTGTGAAAATTTCAGGCACACTGCATCTCATCTTGGGGCCACGATTTCAGGTTTGTGATCACTCCTACCATGAGCCAGAATTGATTCTTTTCTTTCAACTGTAAAAAGGAAAAAACTTGAGTACATGTGATTAAATGCTTCTTTTAGTTATCTGTGTCAATTGCTGTATAAGAAAGCAATTAATCTTCAGCCTGAATTTATGCTTTCTTTTTCATATGTAGTCAATGTGTGACATGTTCATGTTTCAATCTATGTCATTTGCTGAGGGGTCTTTAACTCTTTTACTTTTCATATGTGATCTATGCGCATGTTGTTTGCTGGCATATACATCTATATCAGGACTTTTCTATTGCTAAAAGTCTTATGTGGAGGTCTCTCTGATTTATTTTTTCTGTTTTCCTGCTTGTGTAATATTATAGGCCTAGCTATTCTAAGCTGTCATCTTTGAGGAACCGTCTACCAGATGTACCAATATTGGCTTTGACTGCCACTGCTGTTCCTAAGTGAGTGTAGTAATATACTTTTTGCTTTCCTAAGAGAGAATATCATGTTCCAATGGTCTAGCAGATGTTTTCTCATGAAGAGCAGAGCAAAATAATTTACAAAATAAATTTCTTGGTCTTTCATTCATTTTGCAGAGTGCAGAAGGATGTGATGGATTCCTTAAACTTGCAAAACCCTTTAATCCTTAAATCATCTTTCAACCGCCCAAATATATATTATGAAGGTAAGTACTAAGCCTGACTTGATGATGCAAATGACAAGTACTCGGCATTAAGATCACATTTTTACCCTGCACAAGTTTGTTTGTGTTGTATGTGCTTATACTCAATTAGTTTTATTTTTATGACAATTTATCTTCAGATAGAGAATTGTATGCAATTCTGGTGCATCTAAGATGATTTCTCCAAAATGCAGTTCGATACAAAGATCTTTTGGATGATGCTTATGCTGACTTGTGTAATGTGCTCAAATCTGCTGGAGATGTCTGTGGAATTGTTTACTGCCTTGAACGGGCAACTTGTGATGACTTGTCCACCCATCTCTCCAGAAATGGAATTTCCTGTGCTGGTAACTGATACTTCTACTTCGCTACACTTCATCATTGACCTATATTACATAATATGTTTTACTTTCACCTTTCTTTTTCAGCCTATCATGCAGGGTTAAACAATAAATTGCGGAGCTCTGTTTTAGATGATTGGATTTCTTGCAAGATACAGGTTGTTGTGGCCACGGTAGCTTTTGGGTATGATTAACCAAAAAAATTACTTAATATTGCATTTTCACTCTTTGAAGATCTCTGACTGGATTATAGTGAGAGCAGCTTATCATGTTTTCTTTGCATCATACTTAGATGCACTAATCTGTTCATCTTTGGAATACTGTTGAAAAGAATAGTTTAAACAGTAATAGTGAACTTAGGTTGTAAATAAGAGCTCTCATTTCAAGAAACTGGTAATAGATATCCAGAGGAAGGACATCTTAAAGTTAGTGTGCCTTTCTATTTCACTTTTTTTTAATTACCTCTGCCTTGCAACTTACCTGAGATTGTGATGAATTCCTTCTTTTCTTTTTATATTCTACTTGGAGCTGCTCTGGTACGTGCATGGTTATTCACATGGTAGTGTTCTTTCAGAATGGTAAGCTAATACATTACTAATGGTTTCATTGAACAATGAAGAAATTTCTCTTAAATTTTTTGATTATTGGACTATTGTGGGAATTGATGAATATCATATACCACTAATTTGTTGTGGTTAATGCTTCTAGGGAATAGACAGAAAGGATGTCAGAATAGTTTGCCATTTTAATATCCCGAAGTCAATGGAAGCCTTCTATCAAGAGTCGGGTAGAGCTGGTCGTGACCAATTGCCTTCAAGAAGCTTGTTATACTATGGAATGGATGATCAAAAAAGGATGGTTGGTCACCAGTTAAAACAATGTCATGATGATTGTTTTTGATTTGCATGTTTTTAATTAGAATCTATCTATTTATAATACTGGACTGCTTGACAGGAATTTATTCTGAGCAGTGCTGAGAGCAAGAAATTGCAATCATCAAATTCACAACGCGGGTTGTCAAAAAATTCAATGTCTGATTTTAATCTGGTCAGTAGAAGTCTTGTTGGTCAATATGAACTCTTCATGCTACTGATATTTCATGAAATTGAAGCACATACAACATGCAGATGGTTGAATATTGTGAGGGTTCCGGATGCCGTAGGAAAAAGATTCTTGAGAGCTTTGGGGAACAGGTAACAGAATCTGTAATAAGGCATGTTCTGTGTATGCAATAGTAGGCTGGTTTTCCCCCATCAACACTGATGCAAAACCGCTTATTATCATTGGCTTAAAAGGTATCTGCATTGCTATGTAAAAAATCATGTGATGCCTGCAAACATCCAAACCTTATCACCAAGTATCTGGAGGAGCTCACATCTGCTTGCGCTGTTCGGCAGAGAAATGCATTTTCAAGAATCTTAATGAGCAGGTATGCCTTTAACCTTGCTTCAAAGAAAGGATGTAAATGTTTTCTCCCTTATTGTATTAAATATGCTGGGCTATCAATTATTGAAAAGTTTTTCTGCATTCACCTTAAATTTGGCAGTTACAGAGTGTTTAAACAAGATCAGACAAGACTGCACAAGCAATCTGTTGGCAGTTATGCTCTATCTTGTACTTCAAGTAGATTGCTGTTGCTCCTCTTAAGGAGTCTTCCTTAAGATTGAATTACTCAATACTTTTTCCTTTTCTTATGCATATTGAAACAATCATACTAGAATTCATTCTTTGTAGTTTTGCATATGCTTGAAATGATGCATCATTGGTTTCTGATTTAACTACTCTCTAATTCTTGTGATATGAGCAAACATTTGCTGTTTTTATGAATTGAAGTTGGTGTTATGAATCAAGAATTAAGACTTCCCTAAATTGTTGGAATTTGCACAGAGCCTTATGAGTTTATTCATGCATATGTTTCTAATTCAGCTCCACAGATGCCATTGATAATGCCCAGTTCTCCGAATTCTGGAATCGTGATGATGAAGCAAGTGGCTCTGAGGAAGATATATCTGATTCTGATGGTAAATGAATTTGTAATAAACATCAGCGTTATTTAGGGGGCCCTTGTACCTCATGCAAAAGGACAAACTAAAAGAGGCAATCTAAATCTTATTTACCATTTTACTTGTTTAATTTCTTAATTTTCCAGATGGATTTGAGCTTGCAAAGAGCATATCCAGATCCAAAGTTTCGAAAAAATCAGGGATAAATGAGAAGATTGAGTTTTTGCAGCGTGCAGAAGAGAACTATTATCAGATAAAAGCCCCTGATAAACAGGTTTGTTCTGCATGTCTTTTGTCCAGTCATATGGGAAATATGGTTTTGGTTAGAAAGTTAACTGTGTTCGTACGTATTCATCGACTTCTATTCTTTTTAATGCATTTTATGCACGCTTTCTCTGGAAAATGCCCACTGGTATACATCCTCAAATTTGAGACTGAAATACTTTGAAAATAGAAAGTATGATCAAATAGTACTCTGGTTCTTAAAGATGTTAGATCTTTTCTGTGCCTGGTAGTTTTTGAAATTAGCTAACTTGGAACTTCTTTTCCGTGCACAACATCTTTATTTGGAACAGACCAATAAACCTGACAGAAATGCCATATCCGCAATGCTGAGAGAATCAAGCAAGCAAAGATTGTTAGATGCCCTGAAGCAGGCCCATCAGCGGCTTGGTGACTTGAAGTATGTACACCTTTTCACTTGCATATTAGATTTTTCCTTGTAATGGTCAAAAACACAATGTAGCCAACAGCGCTAGTAGAATTAAGTTTTCTTAGAATCGCCATCTTGTTTCTTAGAAGGAAATCCACTATGGGAGGTTCTCAAATTTGAATTCTCCTTTGCAGGGTCGATTTTGAAGCATCATCAACTTTCCTTGAAAGTGAGTGCTTTAAGAAATATGGGAAGAGCGGGAAATCATTTTATTATTCTCAAGTGGCAAGTACTGTAAGGTGGCTATCAACCACAAGCTCTGCCGAGATAACAAATCGGGTTGCTACCAGTACCACTTCCCATGAGAACAGTACGTGTAAGGAAAATCCACCTTTAACAGCGTCAACCAAGTATGATCAAAGAGAAAAAGAAATTATTGGTGAAGAACATTGTGGCAACATTGAGTTAGAGACTTCAGCAAGTGCTTTGCCACTACAAAATCCTTCGTCAAGTACTAAGTTGCCCACAATTCCATCTTTCTCACAGTTTGTCAACATCAGAAAGTCAAAAGAAACTCAACCAAATGCATCAGAGAAGCATTCACCGAAAAAACTAGAGACAAACACGAAGAAGAGAATGAGGTTGCAGTAGGGTTGTGTGTCCAAGATTTTCTGTTTCTTCCATTTCATTGCGTTTCACCGTCGAAAGCATCGCAAGTCCCCCATTGTTAGCCTGCTCATGTGTTAATTATCAGGACGTGCTTCTGACTCCTTTGGAAAGGGTGACCATCTCCATTACTCAACAACTTTCTTTCTTTTTGGGGTTTGGGGGTTGAATTAGGGGCAGGCATACTGCAAAAGTTTTCGGTTTACATGCTGCCAAGTTTGCCAAAACCCAAAATGATTTTCTCGTAGGTAGGGGCACTAGGCCGTAGGCAGGCCCTCCCCTAGCTGGCTGTGGACCCTAAAATGATACAAGAGCTGGACCCGGCTGCAGATATACGGGCATGAAGAGAACATGGGATGCTTCCCTCCCATGTCTTTCGGTACTGACTTTCATCTCCTGTTTCTTATTTTTTCAGGTAGGTTGGTAGGAAATAACATTCATCCAGTCAGCAGCCATGCGGATTTGAAA